ACTTAGCATGGCTATGTTACATATTCAATATTTTGTTTCTTAGTGATAATTATAAAATAATACATTTTGATCATGCATTGTGTTCTTTTGTGTTGTAGGTTACTTTGAACAGATTTCCCCATCATTGTACATCAACCGCGAGAGTTAAAACCAAGATGTCATCCTACAAGTGGGTAGCAGAGAAGGCCATTCCCTTTCTAAAGAAGGACCCAAATATGGGTGCAACAAAGCTACAAGATGAGTTGCAAACCACACACAAAGTCACAGTGGGATACTCAACAGTTTATGCAGGTATGCAAAAGTCTATAGAGCAAATATTTGGGACGTGGGAAGAGAGCTTTGCATTTTTGTTTAACTTTAAGGCTGAGATTGAGTTGAAAATGCCGGGAAATGTTGTGGAGATAGATGTACAGGAAGATGGTGATGGGATTTATTTTCACAGATTCTTTTGTTCATTCAAACCTTGCATTGATGGTTTCATAATGGGTTGCCGACCTTACTTGAGTATAGACTCCACGGCACTTAATGGAAAATGGAATGGTCAACTAGCTTCTGCAACATCTATAGATGGACACAACTGGATGTTTCCAGTTGCATTTGGATTCTTTCAGAGTGAGACCACTGACAACTGGACTTGGTTTATGCAACAACTTAATAAGGCAGTAGGCAATCTTCCAACCTTAGCTATAAGCTCAGATGCTTGTAAGGGGCTAGAGAATGCTGTGAAGAATGTTTTTCAAAGGGCAGAACATAGAGAATGCTTTTGGCACTTGATGCAGAATTTCATAAAGAAGTTTCAAGGTCCAGTGTTCGGGAACATGTACCCTGCAGCTAGGTCTTATATGCCAGAAAGATTTTATCATTACATGAATAAAATTTATGAGGCAAATTCAGATGTGAAGCCATACTTAGAAACCTATCACAAATTGCTTTGGATGAGAAGCAAGTTCTCAGAAGAGATAAAATGTGACTTCATCACCAACAATTTAGCAGAGTCATGGAACAAATGGATTAAAGATATGAAACATCTTCCAATTGTTGAGCTTGCAGATGGTATTAGGTCAAAGACAATGAATCTATTGGCTAGGAGGAGGAAGATAGGTGAGAAATTGGATGGTGTGATGCTATCTATTGTGGTTTGTCAACTCAATGCAATGACTAGAGAACTGGGCCACTTGAAGGTAGTTCAAGGTGATAGAGACCAAGCTGAGGTGACTGAGATCACTGCTGAACATCAGATTATTAGACATGCTGTCAATCTAGTAAACCATACATGCACCTGTAGAGAGTGGCAAGTTTCTGGTAAACCATGCCCACATGCTTTAGCTCTCATAATATCATATAGAAACCCTAACATGGCTGATTATTTAGATCCTTGCTATTCGGTAGAAAGGTATAAGCTTGCATACGCAGGAGTTATTTTACCACTTCCAGATAAGTCCCAATGGCCAAAAGTGAATATTGGTTTTAAGTTGTTGCCACCTCTTACTAAGAGGGAAGTTGGGAGGCAAAGGAAGAACCAAATAGTCGGGTGCCTTGATAAGGGCAAGGCTAGGAGCAAAGGCAAGTGGCAAGTTCAATGTAAGAGATGTCTTGCCATGGGCCATAGGTCGACGTCGCCAAAATGTCCTTTGAATGGAACGAAGAAAAAGTAAGTGTATAAATTGTCATTTGTTTTAGTTCTAGCATATTTATTTGTTTCAGATCTAGCAAATTTATTTGTTTTACTTTTGCAGGCCAAGTCGGGCCAAAAAAGGGAGACCACTTAGTGAAGCAAATTGTGCAGCAAGTACTAGCATAGAAGGCACACCCAAAAGACAGAAGGTAGGCCCAAATGGTTCAACTAATACTAGTCCAGGGCCTATAACAAGAAGGTAGGCAAACCCTTTTTCTTGTTTCTGCACTTGATTCAAAAAATGTTTTACTAACACCTAATTTTTTTTAAGTCAATCGGCATTGACAACAACTGGTGGAGAAGGACCAATGAGGCAGATGACAACTCCTCCAAGGCCCACTAGAGCTGCAAAGAAGATCACTCCAAAGAAAGGGCTAAAAACGAGTGCTCCTTGATTATATATTCTCAAATATGGGAACTATTAGATTATGGATGCTTTTGTATGTGAACCACATGACTGTGCAAGTTGTGGCTTTTATTTTGTAATCTGAACTTCTATGCCTGGATTATGTATTTTGGATGGCATTCTCTGACTTGCTTACTTAGAGGTGCTTGCCTTGGAGATTGTTTTACTTGCTATATATCATGCCAAAATATGGTTACATGCTGTTCAAATTGGAAATTCTGGGTATATGCTGTCAGAATTTTGGGTATATGTTGTCAAAATTTTGAGTACGTTGCTGTCAAAAATTACATATACAAATTTTTGGTGTATGCTGTCAAAATTGCACAGATTTTAGGTATGTACTGTCCAAAATTTTGTTCTCACATGGCTCAGGTAAACAACTGCAACTTGAAAATATGCTTCAATCTCTAATTGAAAAAACTTCTGTAAATCACGATTGGGAAGATTGACCATTCTCTACGCATGCTGTGAAAATTGTCTGCACATGCTGTCCAAATTCTCAGATTGCACATACAAAGTGATATTTCATCGAAATTGTAAATGCCAATTAACAAACATGCTACGAGTTGAACCATCAAAATTGTCTCAGTTTGCAACTTTCCATACAAACAATGCGTTGATACAACTAGCTGAACCATCCTACTAGCAAACCTGCACTCCTGGAAATTTTCTGATTACAATCAACTTCCAAACAGTACAAAGTATAAAGTTTTTGGTAAAGCAAATTGTTTGCAGCGCTGGAGTCGACGGCTCAACGCGGTCTGGTCAAAGACTTCAGGAGACCGACGGGAGGTGGGGGAGCCGACCGGCGCAGGCGATCTTCGCGGTGAGGGCGTCGCTCGAGGCGGGGCGCGGTGGCGCGACCTGAGGTGGGGGACGGTGCTGCCGGCGATGCGCGGACAGAGCAGCGAGGTGCGGGGACGGGGCGCATACTGGGCGGCGGGGGGCTGAGCTGCGAGCGGCGAGCGGCGAGCGGCGTCGCCTCTCCGTCTCTCGGTCGGCCGAGAGGATGAAGGGGATCGATCTGCTTTCCTGGGAGGAGGAGGCTATCTCTTTACTCTCCTGACAGGTGGGCCCATGGGTAAATCCGTCCGATCAGGTGAGAAAGATGAAGGAAAATATTAGAAATCTGAGAAATTTAGGAAAATAGAGAAAAATGGCATGGAATGAAGGAATTCGTGCTTCCAATGGCATATTCTGAAAGTCACGCGAATTGAGTGGCGTATCCTGAAAACGGTGTGAATTGGATGGCATATACTGAAAAATCTCGCCTTGATCCGATTCTCTTTCATTTTTCGCACGTTTGCCATAGAGAGTTTGATGAATTATATGAGGCCCGAGAGAGCATGCACGATCGAGACAGAAAATAATAAGTGGATGAACTCAGTTGGGTACTATGCACGATTGATATATGGCCTAGCTAAGGATGCTTTAAAAAAATTGAAAATATATTATTTTTACCGATACAGTAGAAATATACTCGTTTTAGAATAATTGGCATCATTATACCGTTGTTGCGTCTATAGGAAAGCGAAATCGCTGACATGCTGGTGGATGCGCGCGAGTTCCTACCACCAACGTGCAAACTCGTGATGTCATCGGCGCAAAATCATGCAAGTACATAAATGCACCACGCGAACTGACGACATCGTGCGAGTTCATGAGTTCAGCGTGCAAACTCGTGACATCATCCTTCGTGAACTTGGGATTGGGATTTGGTGATATTCCCCCGTAACATTCTCGGTGACATTGAGTCACTGACATGTGGGTCCAGACACATATGGGTCCCACATGTCAGTGACTCAATGTCACCAAAAATGTCACGGGGAAATGTCACTGAATCTGCGTCCGTGAACACGTGTGAGTTCATGTGTGCAGCGTGCGTACACCGAGTTGACAGTGGTGGGGGGATTGTCGAGCGCACACACCTAGTCACATGTATCGGGAGCACGAGAGGGCGGGAGCGGCGTCGCGCGTGGCAGACGCGACGACAATAAGTAACGCTCTCGCGTCCTCTTCATGCAAACTTGAGACGGAATCGCGACCTCCTAATCACGACAAAGGTGATCTAATCCTGTAATTCTTTTGGCTGTAGTTATACCAACGCAAAAAAAAGCTGTAAACAATATATTATTTTCTTATTAAGGATGTGTTCATTTGGAATTGTTAATCCTTCTCCCAGCATGTAAAATGGAACAATAGATCAATATATGATTAATTAAATATTAGCTAAAATAACTTTAAAAAATAATCAATATAATTTTTTAAGCAATTTTACTGTATATTTTTTTAAAAAGAAAATACTCCATTTAACAATTTGGAAAACATACGTGTGAAAAAAAGAAAGTAGAAGTTTGGAAAGTGTATTATAGAACACAATCTTAAGACTTGGTAAGACTTAAGACTTTAGCACTAACTCATGATTGTCTTGATATCTTCTGCATGCTTTCTAACTATTCCCTCCATCTCATAATATAAGGCATGATCAAATTTGGCACAGTCTTCAAAATACTTAATTAGGCTGTGTTTAGTTCCTGAAAAGAGTTGGAAGTTTGGGGAAAGTTGGAAGTTTGGAAAAAAAAAGTTGGAAGTTTACATGTGTAGAAAAGTTTTGGATGTGATGTGATGTGATGGAAAGTTACAAGTTTAGAGTAGTTGGGGATGAACTAAACACGGTCTTAATCATGCAATAATATGAGCTTCGTTTTGCGTGTCGGGGAGGAACCCCTCCTCCCGAATACAACCTAGCTAAGTGAGCCTAAATATTGTTTAGGGTGTAAAGCATACCAACACAATAGTTCGGGGTTGCAAATTAGACTTTTTTTTCTTAATTTTAAACAGATTTCGCTGCTTTAATTATTTTAGCGGATGATCTGGTGGCACGCTTTCATCGACGCTAGTTAATCGATCTGTACTTCCATGGACACTCCGGCGGCCGCCGACTGGTCGGAGCTTCCGGCCGACGTGCTCGGCCTCGTCCTCCTCGAGCTCGAGTTCCCCGACCTGTTCCGCTCCGCCGCCGTCTGCAAGCTCTGGCGCGCCACCGCCCGCGACATACGCCGCCTCGGCCTCTACTCCCGCGCGCAGACGCCCTGCCTCCTCTACACCACCGCCGCCGCCGGCCCGCGCGCCGCCGTGCTCTACAGCCTCGCCGACAAGACGACGTCCTACACGGTCCCCCTCCCGGACCCGCCCATCGCGGAGCGCCACATCGTCGGGTCATCCCACGGCTGGCTCGTCACCGCCGACCACCGCTCCGAGCTCCACCTCCTCAACCCGGCCACAGGCGAGCAGCTCGACCTCCCACCCGTCGCCACCATCGAACACGTAAGGCCACTCTACGACGACGCCGGGAACCTCAACAACTACAAGTTGGTCTACTACGACGGCGGCGGCAACAGTCACCGGAGCAACGACGATGACATGCACACGGTGACGCACCCGCCGGAGACGTTCAGGGAGTTCTTGTATCTCAAAGCCGTCATCTCCTCCGACCCATCGCGCGGCGACGACTACACGGTGATGCTCATCCATCACCCATATCTTCAGCTCTCCTTCGCGAGATCCGGCGACAAGAAGTGGACATGGATCAAGATGGGGAACAATGAGTGTGAGTGGTTCGAAGATTGCATCTACCACGACGGCGTGTTCTACGCCCAGACCGTTCACGGCGCCATCCACGCCATTGATGTCGTCAGTGCTTCTTCCTCCTTCACCCATAGACTGATTCTCAAGCCGACCATGGGTGAATTGGGCACCCTCTACATTGTACGTACCACGGAAGGTGACATCCTGCAGGTCTTGCGAGTCACGGAAGAAGATGAAGGTAGCGAGCATAAGGACGTACGAACAACTGAAATCGGGGTGTACAAGGTTGACTACAAGAAGCAAGATCTTGATGACGTCGATGACATAGGTAACAATGCATTGTTTATTGGCACTAGTTACTCGATGTGCTTGCCAGTGAAGGATTATCCACACTTGATGCCAAATCACATATATTTCGACGATGACTACGGGTACTTGGTTCACCGTAAACATCTTCGTCGGGACGTTGGAGTTTATGATTATACGAATGACACTGCGATCGATGTGGAGTATCCTCAGCCGTGGCTGAATTGGCCACTAGCTCCAGTTTGGATTACTCCAAGTTTTACTAAAACTGCAAAATATAGTTGACTATATAAATGCGTGTAATGTTACCCTTTGTGTACATTTTTTTAGTAAATTTTATAAAACTATTGATACTTTAACTAAATTATCACAAAACTGCAGATTTATAATGATGTATCATAAAACTACTTCGTTTTGTTCCTTATTAAGTGATGTTTCGGACAATGTTGAGGTCAAACTTTTATAATTTTGACTATCAATAACTTTAAAAATATTTAGTTTAAAGGAACTAGAACAACATATATAAATTTATCTTTTAAAGTACTATAATAAAAGTAAACATACATTTATTTATTATATATATTATAGTAGAAAAATAAGATCAAACATATATCTTGTAGACCGTGTCATTGTCTAAAACGCCAATCAAAATGAAACCGGAGGGAGTACAGCTTTAATAATAAATTTATCACAAAACTACAAAACTACAGGTTTAACACTACTAGAAAAACAATTTTTTTATGGCATTACCCTATAATTGTCGCTGGTGGCTATATGTAAAAACCGCTAGCAAAAACATAACGAGGGGTGGGGGGTTATGGACTACCAGCGAAAACCGATTTTCACGGGTGGTCATGATAAGAGGTCGACCATAAAAAATAACTCTATTTTTTGAGGCGGATCTCTTAAGTATCCGCATTTTCGCTGGTAGTAGGTAAAGAGTACTGCTGCAAAAAAAAATTTCGAGGCGAATATATAATCCCACCGAAGATCTCAGTCTTTCCACCCCACCTACCCTTCTCCATCTCCCTCCTATCTTCTTACCCTTCTCCAAATCCACTCTTCCATCCTCCTCCCTCCCCACCGAGGCGCAGGCGACGGCGGCTCCGGCAGCGGCAAAGGGGATGGGTGGCGGCGGTGACCGGGCTCGGCGGCGGCCAGTCTCGGCGACGACGACACGTGGGCGATGGATCCGGCGGCGGGCTCTCCTTGTCCTCCTCCCTCCTCCACCGCTGCCAGTTGCCGTCGCCACCACCGCTGCGGGCTGCCATCGCCTCTACCGCCTCTCCGCCGCGAGCTCAGGGCCGGCCGGATCCGGCTGCCGCGACGTCGGGGGTGGCCGGATCCGCTGCCGCGTCGACGGGGGAGGCCGGAGCCACCACCACCACGACGGGGGAGGTCGGATCCGCCGCCGGGTCAACAGGGGAGGCCGGAGCCGCCGCCACCACGACGGGGGAGGTTGGATCCGCCGCCGCGATGACAACGTGACCGCTGCTGGGCCGCAGGCGGCGGATCCGGTCGTGACGAGCTCCTCCCCGTAGAGGGTGACGAGATCGGCGTATTGGGATTGGAATTGTGGGTTGGAGGATTGGGATTGGGGATTTTAGGGTTTTTTTTTTTTTTGCAGGAATGTGAAATGTGATTTTTCGGTTTGTAAGTTCATTTGTTCTTGATTTCTCTCTACCGTTCTCTGCTTGCTTTTCTTTCTCCTAGAGATCGATCGATAATTATTTGAGCTCTTATGGTGCATGTGATTGTTTATGCCAGCAAAAAGAGCATGGGTAAGTATCTGTGGAAATTTTTGAATGGTGGAGCGTTGACGGGGCTGACGGAGCGCCGCTTTTTTTTTTTTGAAACTTTGCAGTATTAACACTGGCGGCTCACAGTGTAACCAGCCAGCGATAATTCATTTTCCCTAGTGGCCTATCTTAGGCTAAACGCCAGCGAAAATAGATCTTTGCTGGCGGCTGGCTTAAGACGACCACCAGCGAAAATGAATTATCGCTGGCGTTCGATAACTGCTAGCGAAGATCTTGATTTTTATTGGCCTTTGTTTGTGGCGGCTCCAAATTCCGCCAGCGAAAGCCAAAATGGCCGCCATGAAAGATGGTTTTCGTAGTAGTGTAAGGCTAAGTATCACAAAACTAAAAATTTAATAATAAAATTACCACAAAACTGTAGAGTTTGGGGTTTAAACCCTTAGCACTAATGTTATGGTTAAGTTATAAACTTTCAAGTTTTGTGATTGAATTGATGTTAAACTTGTAGTTTTGTGATAAAATTTGTTATTAAATCTGTAGTTTTGTGATACTCCACCTTAAATTTGTAGTTTTATGATAAATTTGATGTTAAAACTATAGTTTTATGATTCATATATAACTTAAATTAGTTTAGTGAAATTTACTCTCTTTTTTGTTGATACTCAAATTGAAGCATCAGAATTCTCTGGCCATTTGATTAATCGATTTGGATGGAAACTTTAATTTGATATCCGATTTGTCCTCCAATATATCAACAAACCAGAGTGCTATAATATGCTATTATATGGATTCTTTTTCCTCGTTTTGCTATTTTTGTTTTGAGTAAAATGTAGGGCGGTCCTTAAACTTGTAGGAGTGTGTCATTTAGGTCCCTAAACTCTTAAAATGCATATACAAGTCCCAGAACTTGTCATAGTGTGTCATCTAGGTCCCAAATGACCACAGCCCCTTCAGGATATTACGTGGCGTTGATGTGACATGCCACACGGACATGACATGGCATTATTTTAACCGACAAATGGGACCCATTTAATTTCTCTTTCTTTTTCTTTTTTTTCTTCTCATTTTTTTCCCTTTCTTCTCTTTTCTATGTGATCCGTGTAGAAGAAAGGGAAAAAAAAGAATGAGAAGAAAACAAAAAGAAAAATAAAAGAAGAAAAAAAAAGAGAAAAAGACACGCCACGTCCACGTGGCATTGCCACATCAGCGCCACGTAGGATCCTAGAAGGGATGTGTCAATTTGGGATCTAGATGATACACTTTGATAAGTTATGTGACTTGGATATGTATTTTAAGAGTTTACGGACCTATATGACACAACCCTACAAGTTTAAGGACCGCTAATGCATTTTACTCTTTTGTTGTCTACTCCCTCCGTTTCTAAATATTTGACACCGTTGACTTTTTAGAACATATTTGACCATTCGTCTTATTGAAAAACTTTTGTGAAATATGTAAAACTATATGTATACATATAAATATATTTAACAATGAATTAAATGATAGGAAAAGAATTAATAATTACTTAAATTTTTTAAATAAGACGAACGGTCAAACATATTTAAAAAAAGTCGATGGCGTCAAATATTTATAAACGGAGGGAGTATTGACTAACGACCGACAACTTTTTAAATCTATGAATTTTGTACTCCCTCCTTTTTATATTGTAAGATGGTTTGCCCTCATCTAGATTTAATAGCATCAATATAATTTTATATACATCTTATCTTAACTACTTACAAAATTGATAACTTTCCATTAGTACACTGCTGGAGAAACCCACAATAGTCTCGGTTTGCAACCCCCTTTAGTCCCATGTTGACCACGAATCCAGGTCTAAAGATGCGATCTTTAGTCCCGATTGGTGTGTTACCAACTGGGACTAGCGCTACCTTCTTTAGTTTTTTCATTGTTTTTTGTTGTTTGCATATTGATTTTGAACTAAACTCAACAATAAAATCATCCACGTTCATAGAAACATAAAAAAATCATCCACAAATTCAGAGATCGAATCAACATACTCAAATTGTTATAAAAAATTCACATCACAAATTTACAGATGCAAAAACATCACAAATCATCCACTTGTCTACGCCGGAGAAAAAGTCGCGCAGGCCCACGGCGCCAGGCCACCTTCGCTCGCTCCTCGCTGTTGCTGCTACAAGAAAAGGAGAGGATAAGAGAGAGGAGAGAGGAGGAAAGGGAGGAGGAGGAAAAGGGAGGAGGAGTTTGTAATCGAGAAGGAGAGGATAAATGTGAGGGATTATATCCCACACGTTGATTTAGTCCCGGTTGGTAATATCAACCGGGACAAAAGATAGTAGGGGTTAGACGTTTTTTGATCCGGGACTAAAATGATCTTTAGTTCTAGTTAATGTTGTTGGGCTTTTCAACCGGAAAAAAAAAGATGTTTAGTTCCTGTTCCTATTGGAATGGGACTAATATGATTTTTGGCTGACCCAGTAGTGGTAACACCTTATTTTTGTCTGTCAATCGTCCGATTCTCAATCTCTCCATAATAGCCGACTCGGGAACGACGAGATCCGGCTGTTGATAAAAACTACTTCAGTTTATCCCGAATTCGTTGGGATGGGAACTGAGCCGAAATCCACGGGATTTAGCGCAAGATTGATGGAGCTTTCTTGAGGAAATTGTAGAGGAGATTGGGAGGAACCTATTATAATATCCAATTTAGAAAGGGGAGCAAAGGGGAGGTGGGATTGGAAGGAGAGGCAGCGCCGGCTTCGCACGGGCACAGGGGTTCGGTCTGGAGGAGCGAGCGGGAAGAAGACGGCAATGTGGCACGTGGGCCCCGAGCGATAGAGAGAGAGGAGGGACCGAGGGAGGCTCCTAGACTTGCTCTGCTGCTGCTGTGCCGAAGGGGAAAGGAAGAAAGCAAACAGGCCGAAAGGAGGAGGAGACAAATTAGACTTGACCGGAGAGAAGGCAAGCCTGCTGGAGAGAGGGACAGAAAAACAGACTTCACTGGAATTGGTCCAAGAAGGAGGGAGGATTTTAATTACTTTTCCATTTAAATTAATCACTGAAATGATCTTTGAATTTTCAAAAACACTTAAAATGCTTAAATAATTCCAAGAAAAATCAAGAAAATAGTTGGACACTCAAAAGTATTTAAAAAAATATTTATCTAGATCATTTAATGATTAATAATTGTTTAAATAATTATTGAATTATTCTTTGTATTGTTAAAATTAATAAAAGAAAATTTCAGAGAGTATAATTAATTATGGAGAATTTAATAATGATTAAATCCAGCCATGTTTTAATTAGGAAATTGTATTTCTCACATTAAACTTCACTTGTAAATTAGTGAACAAAATCCACAATCCCTTGTGAGAAGGAAAATAATATTGACTTGGACATTCATTTATGTTCTTCAAGGGACTACATGAATGGAAATGATGCCGGAGGAACCAGTAGCAAATTGAATGATAGGGCAGAGGTGTCTAGTAAGGACAAAACTAGTGTTTCGGAGCTGGAGGATGGAAATGTTTGTTCCCATCATGGGATTGAAGAGCCTAATGAAGAATCAATGCAAGGCATTGTAATGGAACAAGAAGAATTAAGTGATTCAGAGGAAGATAGCCAGCATGTCGAATTTGAACGTGAGGAAATGGATGATTCTGATGAGGACCAAGTTCAAGGTGTCGACCCCTTGCTGGCTCAAAACAAGGTAATATTGCAGTTTAGCACATATCTGTTATTCTAGTATCATTTTACTGTTCATTTCTGGATGTAGAATTCTACTGATTTCCCCATTCTCTAGAATGATTTCACCAATGGCTTTTAACATATCTATTGCACTCTGTTGCTTATATCATGGAAGGTTACCTTTGTATGATTGCTTTTGCAATTTCTTGGACTTACCTGAATAAAAAAGTGAAGCATCACATTGTCACATGTTCAATCAATAATTGGTGACAACGCTGCAATTTTCCCTGAAAGATCTCATGTTTGAACCTTTCTTCTATGAATTAATGCTTGCAATATGTTCTTTCTCCTCTTCCTTTTGACATGCTGATAGGCTGATAGCTATAGATGTTTCCTTGTGCAGGAGGTTTCAACATCAGTGGGTTGTGGGGAGTATGAAGGTAGTAATAATCAGAGCCAGAACCAACAAATGGTGTGTTTAGTTCACACCAAAATTGAAAGTTTGATTGAAATTGGAACGATGTGACGGAAAAGTTGGAAGTTTGTGTGTGTAGAAAAGTTTTAATGTGATGGAAAAGTTGAAAGTTTGAAGAAAAAATTTGGAACTAAACTCAGGCCTACAGGTGAGTAAACAGGGTGCAGCAACGCAGAAACCACAGAGGCTTTCTAATGCCACACCAGCAAGAGAAAAGCTGAAGGGGGATAATGCGAAACGTATAGGATCTAGAACAAGCCCACGATCATCCACGTCCCCTACAACTGAACCTAACCAAACGAAAACCAGAAGGCCTAAAGCTCAGCAGGTACAGATTGGTGCCGAGCGCAAGTCCAGTGATTCAAGAAGAAGCAGAAAAAAACCTGCTCCAATTTCCAGCATCTTGTCTCATTTGCACATCGGCTACCTGTTTGCCTGGCCGCAATATTCTCCAGATGATAGCACGGCAATCTGCTGTCATTCGCATTTCTGTGAACGGAGCAGCAAGATCAACATTCGAAGGTGAGACCTTGCAAGTACATGTCCACTGTTGAATAGCAACTAAGCAAGACTGAAGTGGTGTTCCTTGCTTCACCTCTGACACCATTGACACATTAGCCTGCCATTGAGTAGTTAATTGCTTTTGATTGACTTGACTGAGTTTGTGTCCTCTCCACTCTCCAGGAAAGTCTCAGCGAGTCATGTGTTGTGTTACAGCTTGTAACATGAGCCAATGTGTTAATGTTTCTGTAAAGTTGGCGTAGCGCCATGGCCATTGACGCTATAATGTTAGTAATGTTGATTAGTGCATGGCTTATTTGGTTGCACATCCATTTTTCCTACCATCACATATCTTCAACCTGTACTGCTTGTTATTTAGATAGCTCACTCCAATTACATATTGCAAGCTTGTAAATATTTTTCAAGAAGGCATTTCATTCCTTAAAACATTTTTCCCCAACGGAAACCGTTGGCCGGAATTGATTTCGCCTTATTTGTAGAGAAATAGCATACACAGAACAGAATGTACTGATGTATATACGAGGGTTAACGACGTTGTGAAACCGCTAATGGTTAGTTTGTGAAAACTGATACAGTATGTTTTAGCTGTTTTTTTTACGGTTTTTACTGGTTTTTGGTAAAATGGTGAGGAGCGGTTTTTAATTTAAAACGGAAAGGTAAACCCTGGGAGTACAATTCAGTCGTTCAAAGAAACAGAAAAAAAATCATCAGTGCCTCAGAGGCAGAAATCACCTGTAATATGTGTATAATCATTGTTGTATGTGTGAAGTATATATTTCCCTATTTTTGGCATAGCTAAATTAATCCTTTATTACACAAAATCTATGGCCGTCCAGCGTAATTATGCACTCCTGTCCACTCGTCCAACAACAACCTGCTAAATTTGCGTCTTGCAAAGATCACCTGTTCATATAATACTCTGCAGGGCTCCCCTCTGAAAAAAGTTGAGATTTCAGACAATTAACATCACTAGGAGAGAAATCAAGAAACAAGCTAGCCAGCAATGGTGTCTCTCCGCGCGGCCATCGTCCTCGTCGTCGCCGCCTCGTCGGTCGCCGTCGCCTTCTCTCGTACGCCACGCACCCCGAAACTAATTGCATCGATCGATCGATCAGCAATGGCGAATGGCGATTGAATTGATTTGGATGGATGCAGATGCGGAAGGGAACGAGGGGCCGGACTTCACCTACATCGAAGGCGCCATGGACGGGCCGTCGAACTGGGGGAAGCTGAGCCCGGAGTACAGGATGTGCGGCGAGGGGAGGTCGCAGTCGCCGATCGACATCAACACCAAGACCGTCGTCCCGCGCTCGGACCTCGACACGCTGGACCGCAACTACAACGCCGTGAACGCCACCATCGTCAACAACGGCAAGGACATCACCATGAAGTTCCACGGCGAGGTCGGCCAGGTGATCATCGCCGGGAAGCCGTACAGGTTCCAGGCGATCCACTGGCACGCGCCGTCGGAGCACACCATCAACGGCAGGCGCTTCCCGCTCGAGCTCCACCTCGTCCACAAGTCCGACGCCGACGGCGGCCTCGCCGTCATCTCCGTCCTCTACAAGCTCGGCGCCCCGGACTCCTTCTACCTCCAGTTCAAGGACCACCTCGCCGAGCTCGGCGCCGACGAGTGCGACTTCAGCAAGGAGGAGGCCCACGTCGCCGCCGGGCTGGTGCAGATGAGGTCGCTGCAGAAGCGCACGGGGAGCTACTTCCGGTACGGCGGCTCGCTGACGACGCCGCCGTGCGGCGAGAACGTGGTGTGGAGCGTGCTCGGGAAGGTGAGGGAGATCAGCCAGGAGCAGCTGCACCTGCTCATGTCGCCATTGCCGACCAAGGACGCCAGGCCGGCGCAGCCGCTCAATGGCAGGGCCGTCTTCTACTACAACCCGCCGGGCAGCGCCGTCTCCTTCCAGGAATTCGCCAAGTGATTCTTTCTTTTTTTTTTCTTTCTTTTTTTTTTGGTTTTTTGTATTTGATGTTGAGTTGATTTGATTAACATTTCGACGTATGATATGCACTATATATAATTAATTAACATCGCAAAATACTTTTTTTTTCGAGAATACATAAAGGGCTCGCGTATCTTTGTATTAACTAGTGGGGGTGGGGATTAATTACTATATGCTTGGACATTTTTCCGTTCTTCAAGATTGACGCATCGATCGATAAATGTATATATTTGTAGCTAAGAAGGGGTAAATATACTAGGAGAGAATACACTCTATTGTCATTGAGTTTGTCTCTGTCAACGATTTGCTACTGACATTGTATGTTTCTATCAGCGATTTATCAATTGTTTGCTAGGTTTTCCCCCGTTGTTCTACTCTTCCGTGTCAAAGAGTGCATGTCAGATTAAGCAGAACCACCAGCTAATCCCCTTCGATGCGCAGCCACCGCGCCGCACCACCGGCCGGGGCTTGAGATGGGAATTGAAGCACGACGGAGATCGAGACTCTTCTACTTTCAAGATATGATGGTATAGTCTTACATAGGTGTAGGATCGAACAGTAAGAACTAATTCAAGCAGAGGAGGGGTGAATGGTTGTAGTACCAAAAAAACAAAACTTTTAGCGGAATTAAAAGTTACCCTCGAATCGATGTCGATCGGTCTGACTGGAATAGATCTGCCGGTCTGACCACATCGATGCCACCGGTCTGACCAGTATAGATCGCCCGATCTCACCGCCCGAAGATGCCGAAGTCGCCTGTCGCCGCCACCAGTCTGACCACCGTGTACTCGCTGGTATGACCGGTACAAAGCCGTCGGTCTGACCAGTGGTGTCTCGCCGGTTGGACCGCCGAACCCGAGCAAACATAAATTGAAGAACTCTCAAAGTAAATGACAACTTTATTACTTATCTCTGTGTTTACAAAGTGTAGCAACAGCACTCCTCACGAAAATCTCGACTAAACTCGAAACCCTAACTATTCTCTCAACTCAATGCTCTCAAAAGCGATACCGAGAGGCCACACCTCCCTCTCTATTTATGCATGAGGTAGACAGCCTAAAGCCACAAACCAAACTTATACAAGAAGTCCTAATCCACCTAGGAAACCTTCCCATACAAGAAACCAACTTTATAAACTCCAATTGCACCAAATTTGAACTCCTTCCAAATTCGACTCCGCATCACATAGACACACAATATCTCCATTGTATGCCATATAGAATCTTCACCAACCACGTGCATTGATCTTTAGCCTAAGTATCTCGCATGATATCTGATCATCCGGACATCACCTTATCTCCAAGTTGACTCCCGATCCATCACCGGCAACACTCTCCCGAGGCGTCAAGATTACCTACACATGAATCAACTAAGAAACCATATTCCAAGAACAAGCTATCTCCAACTTGACTCATTGTTAGCAAACAACAGTATTACATACGCATAGTATCCATCTAGAAGTCATAAACACATATAATCCACGGATATCCAATGAAACAACCCGAAACCGAAACCGACACAGAGTCGGTCGGTCAGACCACTGGCTGGCCGGTTTAACCGCATGCATAGCTTCAGTCTGACCGGCAGCACCTGCCAGGTCTGACTGGACCAAACATCCAGCAGCACCTGTTCATCACCTGCAAATTCAATAATCTCCAAAACCACTTCGCCAATAATCTCCAAATATCAAAATCAATAATCTCATATGCCAATTATTCATCACAAAATAAGAATCAAATACACTTTGATTTTACAATAGGTGCTCATAGAGATAAAGTATGTGTGTACTCATAGTAGGTGAGTGCACACGCGTTATATGTGTCTGCATTTGTACTATCTTTCTAAAAAAAGGAGAGTGTATATGTGGCGTGCACATCTTTCGTGTAATTGAGAGAGAACAAACAATATAGGAATAAGTACACTTGAGGCCCCTTAACTTGTTAATGAATTCGATTTTCGTCCTCCAACCAGAAAACCAGATACAACAGGTTTCTCAATTGTCAAAATCAGTGCCGATAACTAGATAAGGTCCCTCGATGGTTTGCACGACAGTTTTGGTTGACGTGGCGTCTATGTGGCTAATTTGATTCGGTCTTCATCTGACGTGGCGTTTACATGACAATTCGATCTAAGAAAAATAATAAACCTCGTGGGATCCACATGCCAGTTTCACACAAATTAATAAAAAAATAGTGGGACCCATGTGGGCCAGCCCACATAATTATTCTCAGCCCTCCTCTTCTTCCTCCTCTCTCGGTCTCTCTACATAATATTATTAATTTGTGTGCGAAACTGCATGTGGGTCCCACGGGGTTTATTATTTTTCTTAGATCGAATTGCCACGTCAATGACACGTTAGATGAAGACAGAGTCAAATTAGCCACGTAGGTGCCACGTCAGCCAAAACTACCATCCAATCTGCCGAGGGACCTCATGTGCACTGGTTTTGACAATTGAGGGACACGTTCTATCTGGTTTTCCGGTTGGAGCACAAAAATTGGATTGGTCGACAAGTTAAGGGACCTCAGGTGAACTTATTTCCAACAAATTGTAAATGGGCCGAGTAGAGCCAGCCCAGCGGCTACTGGCCTTGGTCCACCTTGGCTATATATATGAATGGGCCTCAGATTCCTCGGCCCAGGCGGTACACGAGCAAAGCGAGGCGATTCTTCTTCTTCTTCTTCTCTGGTGGTGTGGTCGGGAAGCTAAACCCGGGAGAAGCCGCAGCGCAGCGAGGGTGACGAGGAGGAAGACGAGGGGAGAGAGAGAGAGAGAGAGGGAAGCAGCATTGGGGTTCGTCGCCTCCAGATCTCCGTCTCCGATCCGGCGACTGAGCTCTCGATCGCCTCCTCCTCCCCGCCGGCAACCGCCGCCTGCTCTGGGTTCGCCATCGATGCATGCACCCTGCTTTAATTTACTCCTCGTTCGTTGCTCTCTCTCTCTCTCTTATCCCCTATCGATTCGATTCCTTCGAGTTGATGAGCAGGTCCCCTCCGCGATCGATGCCATGGATGTGAAGGGTCGCTCCGCCTCCGCGCCCGCATCGCCGTGCGTCGTGCTCGGGGACGACGCCGCCGATGCCGCAGCGGTGCGTGTGTCCTCTTCCTCTTCCTCTTCCTGCCTCTGGTTCGATTGGTTTGCGATTCGATGCGCTCGTGCTCCTAGTTTTGCTTTTGCGCTCAAGAGAGTTTTTGTCTGGGTAGTAAGTAGTAACCACCGCCTAATTAACTACTCCTACTAGTTAATTGATGATTGGATGATGCCGCGTGTTACATAGCTGCCTGTTCAATTTCGATCAATACAAAAACTCGTCCGTGCTGTGATTTTTTTTTTTAATTTCATTCTGTTTCTCTGCCTATTGAGCAAGACATTGTTACTAGAGGTGTTATGGTTTGATTTTGTTTTTTCTTCACAGGTTGCCAAAGTTGATCGGAAATATGGGAGTATGCTCAATGCTGGGAGTCCACTCCAAATTCTTTACACAGATCAGTTAGCTGATGCGAAAGGTGGTCTTAAGGTTAGTTTCCTCACTCAGTTGTTATTGTTGTTTCATTACAATATCTGCCTCCTTGGCACCTGTATCTTGTGGGGAGAAGAAAAATGAGAAATTATGCTTTCTGGAAGTGAATCGAGTTTGTGACCAGACATTTTGTATTTTTGGCCCTTCCCAGTCACACGCCTTCTGAAGGTGGTTGATATTGTGATCTGCAACAACAATATATGACATTCTTCTGTCCTCTTTTTTTATTCAGGCAAATGCACCATGTGAAATAACTTCTGTTACAGAATGCACCTGCCCTCTAGAACTACAAGGCATGTTGAAGGAGGAATGTGTTGATCAGTACAAGCTACTATCTGACAGGCTGCTTGCCAAGGTAAGGTTTTATACTTATTCACACATATGCTTAATCTATTTGAGCTTCACGGGTTGTTTCAGCAGTAATTTTCTTGCTATATATTGAAATCTTAAGACTAGATCGGCTTGTGAAAACCAGAACTCTTAGGAATGACAACAAAAATATTTTTCAGATAGTTCCCAAGGTTGCAAGAGTCAAGAAACCAGTTTCCAGTTCAGAGGTATATGCAGAGTTTGGTGTTTCTGCATATTCAAAATATGGTACAAGAACAGTGAGTACATCATTGAGAGGTAAGCCCTTTTCCCTTAGCTATTGAAGTGGCTATGACTGCTGAACTTTTAAGTATGTTTTGAGGCTTTTTTTATGATTTGTCATATATGTTTGCTAGTGGTTAGCTACTTAGCTGTGTGACACATTTGCAGTTTTAACTCGATGTATTCAATTTAAGGGGTGCTTGTTACCATTGCTGAAGAAAAATCACTGCAAATAGTTCACTACTGTTCTAATTCTTGCTGACTGTATCTACTTTACCTTATGAGTTATGATTAGTTGATAATGATACAATTCTAGTGTTTTTCTAACTTTTAGATATTATTTAACTAGATTAGCATTTTTGCTTATTTCCTCTAAATGTGTTTCTCTTTCCATGTTTTTCAGTTCTTAAACTGAGTCAGATGTGGGTTTTATTCCTGGTGATCCTTCTCTTAGTCTGTCCTGTCTATTCATTAACACATGATGGAAGTGCAGAGATTGGTACTTGTCGGTTTGACAAAACGAGTGTTGCTGCACTCTCTTGCAAACAGCCTGATGGGAAATGGAGGCCACCCTCAGTGACATGTTGTAATGCATTGCTGAATGCAATTGATCATTTGCCAGCTAGCAATGAGAGCGGAGTGTGCTGTCTGTGTCGCTATTTGCAACTAAGATACCCTAATGATGGGCATGGATTGGTATCATCTTATGTTCTATGCCAGGGAAAGGATAGGCATATTGTCACTACATGGTCTTCTTTTCCAATCACATCATGTTATACAGGTATACATTTCATTTCTGTTACCTTTACTATTCCATCTTAAGATCTGGAGTAAATTAAAGTCTCTAAATATTTTTCTGTCTTGTTTTAATCAGTATGCAGGCAGGAAAAAACTTCATCGAGTGGTATGAGTAACCCTGTCCAGAAGGATCATCCTGTGAGAAATGCACATGGAACTGGCAATGAGGTCTTCAAGATCCCTTGGATATTTGGTTCAGTGGCATTCTGTGTGATATTACTTATTTTCCTTTGGTACCTGTGGTGGTCTAAGGCAGCATCAAATGCATGCCAACTGCAGTCCCTTCCCCTGAACCGAAATTGGAGGCTGTCATCAGATGGTGGTCCATGGGCTGAGCGCAGGCGATCCTCTGGGAGGCGTTCATCGGCACAACTGAAGGAGCGCAGGATGTCATATTCATAAACTTCCCTGAACAGTTGGAAGGATTGGAATATCTGGTTCTAAACAAGTTCATTCTTCTTTCTTGACGGGCAGTGCTTTAATTGTTGGTATGATATGCATTGTTGAGGATGTGATGGTGTTTTTGTCTCAAGGATTGCACATACGTGAACATAGCAATTCACAACTGCTATTGCTTAGGAGTTCTGATATGCCAAAGAATGTTGTCTGAATATAATGGCCATGTTTAAGTGCAGTAAGTCTGTGACATTGTACATCAGTTATACTGTCTAAAACCTAACAATGAGGAGTTCCAGACCAGTGCACAAAGATACTTGCTACTTTTTTTTGCGTGTGTGTGGAAACTACTCACTTTGTCAACATGCCCTGGCCTTAAAGCCAAAGTTCATGGCTTGGATGTCAAAAACAAGCTTAAATGATCTGACAGCTCTATTCCCTAGCATTTGGACCCCTCGGACACCTGCATCATCCGGCAGAAAAGTGGAGCAAATTACATTGTTTGAGCTTTCATAGAATGCATTTTCCACTGGCAGCTTCAAGGTAGACCTGATAAGTTTCATCTCCACTGTTGGAAAGTCATTCCAGTTTGCTGAGCCACTGTTTGAAATGAAGCAAATCCTCCTTTCATCCCATCCTCTGGTATATCCCTTGGCTTGCATTTCCTTCGTCATCGCTTTGTCCAGTGCATCAAACACCGGGGATAAAATGTATGTATCAGCAGTGCCAGAATCAACAATTGTCATCTTGGATATATAGATATATGGATCAATTTCAAGCCTGATTCCATTGACCATCATATCAAGCTGCTGAATAGCATATGCTGGTTTATGATCGTAGTAGATCAATTTTGTCCACATAAGATTGATATCTCTGGCATATGGCCCAATGGTCAGTGACCCTTCATTCTCATGATCTCTGGGGAAGCAGTAAGAAAACGCGGTATAATCTGTCTGCTGACATACCTGGTTGAAGAATGAGTAACTTTTAGTCCCAAAACCAATTATCCCAGCATTGACTCCATTGTAAAGATTATCTTCTCCACAGCCAAAGATGAAATTATCAATGCTTCTGTTGCTGGCAAGAGTGAGCCTGTCTTTCCCTAAGTACCCAACTGAATACTCTCCTGACCCATATCTTAAGCTGTAGATACAAGTATCATCCTCTTCTACACACCCATACTCAACAGCAAGATCCATGTGCATGCCATTGCAAGCCTCAGTTGAGCACCCAACTTTACTGTAAGTTGAAGAATTGTAAGGGTTGAATATTTGTCCAGCTTTTGCAGCTTGGTCATAGCATTTTATCTGACAATTTTTACACTGAACCCAGGAGAGAGTTGAGCCGGTGTCAATGGTCACAAGATTGAAGACAGGTGGTGTGCCAAGGCTGATGCCCATGAAATACTTGTTCTTGCGCATGCTATCATCGCCTATGACGGTGGAGGAGTCTGCAGGTATGTTTGCTGGCTGGATCATTGTAGATATGAAGGAATTGTTTATGTGGAACACAGAGAATGTAAAGGCTCCATTCGTGTTTAAACCAATACCTGTGTTGTTCAGGAGAAAAACAGTGTTTCATGAATCAAGAACAAGAACACATAAGTATGATGTGTTAAGAATGTTTGGCTTACCAATATTAATGCAAGGACTACAGGTAAACTACCATGACATAGTTGCAAAAGAAGTACTTAATCTTGGTTTGTTGATGGTTTTTATATGTTGCCTCGTGTCATAAGTGTGTTTATTTTTCATGATTCCATATTTAATACGAAAAATCCATACCTAACCGAATTGCATTCTGATGGAATAGAATACCCATGCAAATTGCAAAATAAAACTACCTTGCACATCAGGTTTACAAGATCACTTCTGACAGCAAAAGAAAAAAAATTAGTATTTCACCTGCCAAGCTTTTTTGGGGGAAAAAAAAGATGGCACTTTGGTATGGCATTCCAACGTAAAGCAGAGCTTTCTTAGCTTCGATTGTGAGCATAATTAACAGATTAGATGAAAAAAAAGGAATGACGAGCGCATTTTCTAGAAGCCATAGCATCATATAGCAGTAAAATTTGAAACTTCATTTCTGAGTTGATTTTTTGCTTTACTCATCATAGTCAAGTTTTCAGCATTGGCTTTTAAACTGCTAATAATATGGATATAGAAGTTCTGCCCATAGCTTAAACGATCATAGCATAATACAGTTGAAATTAAAAAATTAAAAGTCATTAACCACACATTTGACTGAATTTTGTATAACATACAAATCGCGGCCACCCATGTATACGTTTTTCATGTAATCGGGGGAAAAAAAACGGAAACATGATTACCGTAGGTTGATGAGGAGGCTGGACTAGTAATGCTCATGCACAGTCGAATTGTGCACCATAGCGAAATCACCATGACAGCCAAGAACAGCTCCATCAACTATGTCGATCTTCACAAAGTCTAAGCTAGGTGCTGAGTAATAAAATGAAATGTCTCTAATTCTCCTATTTATTATATGGGTTTTAATTAACACATGCTGCCTGACAATATGCATGCTCCAACTACCAACAATAACAGATATTTCATCACGATGAATATGCTATTTCTTTTTTTTTCTCCCCTAGAAATCCACTTAATTTCTCTACTGTTTGGCTGACATGTGGGCCCAACAGGCAAAACCCTTCCTGTTCTATCTCATTCTCATCGTCCTGGATTAATTAATCCAACCCGAAAATGAATCGGATTAGGATCCAACGAACCCGAAGAAGAATCGGATTAGGATTCAACGAGGCAGATTTAAAGCCAAAGCGATCGAATTTCTCTACAGAGATTGCTCGATCGATCGATCGATGATGGCTCGCCACATCTTGGCGGCGGCGGCGGCGACGGCGCTGGTGTTGCTATGCTGTTTTCATCTGCCGGCGACGGCGATGATGGCGGATACCATCAGGTACGGGCCACCGAGGGTGCCCCACCGGCTGGGCACCGTCATCGCCGTCGACCTCGGCAACACCAACTCCTGCGTCGCCGGCTACGGCGACGAGGCTGATGCGCCGCCGCTGTTCCGGCTCTGCATCCCCACCTCGGTCGCCTTCACCGGCGACGGCGACGCCCTCGTCGGCGAGGCTGCCAAGAACCACCCCGCCGCCATCTCCGGCTTCAAGCGCCTCCTCGGGACGAGGTTTGGCTCGCCGGAGGTGCGGCGAGCTGCCGAGCACCTGCCGTACAAGATCGTCGACTGGTGCACGATGGCTCACATCGAGGTGAACGCCGGCGCCGGCGGCGCGGCGAGGAGCGTGTACGCCTCCGACGTGGCCTCCATGGTGATCGCCGAGCTGAAGGCTCGCGCCGAGGCTCGCCTCGCCGGCGGCGGGAAGAAGGTCCACAACGCCGTCGTCACCGTCCCCTACTACTTCTCCGACGGCCCACGTGAGGCGGCCATGAACGCCGCCAGGATGGCCGGCCTGACAACCGTCCGGATCATCGACGAGCCCACCGCCGCCGCCGTCTCCCACGGCCTCCACCACGGCCGCCTGCGCGACGGCGGCAACGTCCTCGTCCTCCACGTCGGCGGCGGCACCTCCGCCGCTACCGTCCTCACCTACGACAACGCCGTCTTCGAGGCCGTCGCGTCGCGCCACGACGCCCACCTCGGCGGCGATGACTTCGACGCCAGGATCGCCGGCCGCTTCTCCCAGCTCATCAAGCGCGACCACGGCGGCGGCGTCGACGACATCGCCCCCGCGAAGCTGAAGTCGCAGTGCGAGCTCGCCAAGAGGACGCTGAGCAGCCACGACGTCGCCCAGGTGAACCTCCACGCCACCAACCTCGCCAATGGCGCCTTCTCCTTCTCCGGGTCACTGACGAGGGCGCAGTTCGAGGAGCTCAACCACGACCTGTTCGAGAAGGTCATCTCCCTCGTGGACGCGGCAATGGCGGAGGCCAGACGCGCGGTGGCGGGGTTCGACGTGATCGATGAGGTGGTTCTCGTCGGTGGAAGCACAAAGATTCCGAGGATTCGAGAGCTCATCAAGAACTACTTCGCCGGGAAGGAGGCGACGGTGAAGGCGACGGCGAGCATTGGCGGCGGGGCGGTGGTGGTGGTGGAGCCTGAGGAAGCTGTCGTCCATGGCGGTGGGCTTCTGAGCCATCCCATGGAGGATGGCTACCATTGCATGGGAGCCGGTGGTCGCCGTCAGATAGGGTCGCCAATGGATCGCTGTTACCATGAATTTTAGCTGAATTTGAAATTTAGACTCTCTTGTGTACAACTACTGTTGTATTAATCGTTGATATAAGAGATGTAGTGACATAATAGATGCTCTCTTCGTTTCAAATTAATTGTTCTAACTTTATCCTAAATACTTCTATCAATTTTTAAAAATTCAGATTCATTGGAGAGCTATACCTGTAGGCCCAAAACAGTCCGAAGTTATTTTTTATGGAAGTATCGTTTGGTAGTGGTAAATAATTCAACAACATATGAATTATATGTTATACAAAAATATTTCTCAAGCTGAATCTAAAAATTGTATGAATATTTACAAATTTATAGTCAAAGGCTCTCTTTGGCATAGTTCTTCGAGTTGGGTGTTGCTAGCTCAATAAATCAATGAATCTAGATTTGCGATTACAATGATAACGTTAAGATAAATTATTTTGATTCTATTTTAAATGAAATTTAAAATTTCTAAACATCTGGTGACAATATTTTGGCCTGAATTCACTCGGATTTGTTTCCCTCGGATTAGTCTCTGCATGAATTAATTAGCAGTTGTGATACGTTTCCTTCCCACGCACGCATGCGGCCAGCAACATATAATCTAGCTTGGCCCAAAATTGATGAGTACACACATCATGTGTCGATGCGGCTAGGTGAAGAGATTAAAGAAATTACAAATAAAAATTGTGTCACTGCGGGAATCCCACGACCTTCACGTCGCACACACATACCTTTCCTACTCAGGTACAAGCGTTTCTTATATTTAGATGAGACTTGCGTGCTAGTTATATTACAGTAATTACAGTATATTTATATTGTAGTTACATTCGTGTGATTTTAATGAAAAAATTGTTAGGTGATATATAGGTAGTGATTTAAAGATATGCCAAACAGGGTCAAAGATATGAGTGTTTAATTTAGGATAAAATTAAAACGATAAGTAATTTAAAACAAAGAGAACATAAATTATGTTGTGAACGGCTGATTCGAGCATTAGTTTCATGCAGTGAGACTTACATTAAGCTGTAATTAAGCAATACCAGTTCAACTCAAAGCTTATCACTCATAGATCACGCTTCTCTATGGCAATATGGCATAATCTAAAACAGTTAGAAACCCAAGAGCACATCATATCACTTTGGTTGTAGCATACCAAATCTTTGAATCAGTGATGTAGCACATGGGCAATTACAAATATATTTACAAGTTTTGGGTTGTTCTAGAAACCTGGGATTAATTAGGCCAATTCGAAATGCATAAAGAAAAAGTATAAAACGATTGGTTCAAGCTCTATCCTACTAGTGAGTACTTTTGTTTGTTTGAAGAAGTCTCTGACGTTCATCACGAGTAACAACTAACGGATCACTAATTGAGTTGTCGTGTGGCTTGTGCACTGAAGTCCTTTTCTAATCTATGGTCGAACCTTTCTGGTCTTTGGTCACTTGGAGCTCATCAGTTTGGACTATTTGTTCAAACATTTCCTCTTTAACTTTATTCTTTATGATGTTGACAAGACAGGGACAGTATTAATGGACTTGCAAATAGCGGAAGAAACAACGGTTATATATGCATATTTTCGTCAATTATAAATGATAGTTGTTATTTGTATCTTTAGCATTATGCTCCGAGTAGTTTCTTATAATTAATTTGTGATTTTGTCGTTCACATTAATTGGCTCTAGCTTTTTCGAAGCAAATGCCCAAAAAAATTACTACATTATTAAAAAACAATGGGCTCTGAATTCTAATAATTAATTAACTAGCCAGTGGCCTCTGGTACAGTTTTCAGCTAGATTATGTCTTTTGCACCATACTTCCTTGCTTGATGCTGTTTAATCAATCATGCCCTATGGCTACCCTGATTAATTAATACAAAGTTTATTCCAAATACCACTGTATCAATTATCTTCAGAGTTTATTTCAGATACCTGATCTGTATAAATCATCAGAGTTTATTTCAGGCAACACCGTATCAATCATCTTCGTTTTGTTCTGATGCTCTAGCCAGTTCATAGGAGGTGACAGGTAATATATGACGCAGAATGAGAACTAAAAAATAATTATCGCCTTAATTTAGGAACAAACCACAAAAACAAAATGAAGTTGCCCTGCAAACGTGATGGTACTACTAATCAGCCAGTACACTCTAAAGCCATGAAAAAATATGTATGTTCGTTCTTGTAGCAAGAAAAGTATTTTGTTACGCATGTCAACTCCAGTTGCAATGTGAACATGCCATGGAAAATTTGAAATCCACATTCCGTTCTTACGTACGGTCAATATGCGCCATATTGCAAATTCTTCGTGCGCTATAATTAGTTTGACAATAATGTCATGATTTATTAGAGTCTTCCCTCGGCAGGTTTCGCCGTTTAGAGAGGGGTTACTCTTCGCCTCACGGTAAACACAAAGAACTAAACAAAATCTATCAAAAAAATTACTTTTTTCTTCTAAACTTTACCCCGTTACGCACCCAGACCCTTCCTATCACCGACGATAAGACATACATCATGTATAGATTCATAGTCAAGGTTTGTCTATTATTTTTGGACGGAGAGAGTAGATGGTAAGGGAAACCCTGCTCCTCCACGCATGCTTATAGCTGTTGGCAAGAGAAAAAAATCAGCATTAGTCTCGATTCTCTGATCTTGGTCTAAAGATGCTCCGTTGAAGATATGTGAGAATATTTTCCTTGACAAGCAAAAAATGGATACGTATTTTATTCCAAAAGAGACCCCTGAATCTTCAACGAGAGGGGAAGGTGGTGTTGAAAGAATGAGCAACTGGATGATCCTTTTATTTTTGTTCAAGTAAAGAGTTGTACTTTCTCTTATCAGACGTTTCTCAAGTTAACATATCGGAACTAAACTTGTCTATCATTTAAAATAGGAAAAAGTACGAATTACCCCTCCGAACTATCGCGGTCGTCCGAATTACCCCTGAACCATAAAACCGGATATTTTTCATCCCAAACTATGCAAACCGGACGAATTACCCCCCTCGATCTAATCCGCGGTGGTTTTGGTCTACGTGGCGTACACGTGGCATCCCAGTCAGCGTTTTCTAATTAAAAAATTGTGGGACCCGCATGTCATAGTCTTCACTTTCCCTCTCTCTCACTCTTCCTCTCTTCTCTCTCTCACTCTATCTCACTCTTCACTGCTTCGGGAAGACACGGCGGCAACGGGAGACACGGAGGAGCGGGCGGCGGGCGGCGGAAGGCGGCGCACGGGGGCGGACGGCGGACGGCAGCGTCGCGGCGAAGGCCGAGCGGAGGCGGCTGCGATAATGTACTTTTCTATTTGTTAGTAGAAGAATTATGCTTTGCAGAAAAACACGATGAGCTCTTGTCAAGCTTGGACTTGGTCCATGGACTCATAACATATAATGTACTTTTCTATTTGTAAGTAGAAGAATTATGCTTTGCTGAAAAACACGATGAGCTCTTGTGCCCCCACAATATCTTTTTTTTTCCAAAATAATAGGGCTAAATAGGGATAGGATAACTCCCTTCATGATATCCTATTAGCAACGAAAATAGCTAGTTCTCGATCCGATTTGCTCGGACCGAATCGATGATGTACTTCCCTTGTCTTAAAATAAATCAACTTTTATACATAAATTTTAACTTATAGCCTATGTTCAGAGGATCTAAACATGCCCTATCTATAAAAGATGATTTATTTTGGGACAGAGGGGAGTACAATGTATTTTCTAAAACGCAATGGATGTGGATTAGGATAGGTATTGCTAAAATTTGATAGATATGGATTATTCGATCTTTTTTATGCAGATCATTCAATAAAGTACTACTATAGAATAATCCATTTTTTATATATTACTAACTAAGGATATGGTATGTATTGTTTTCTAAAATCCAATTAATGTGAATTAGGATATGGTATTGTTAAAATCTGGTGTATATATATTATCCAATTTTTGTGCGAAAGTGCTATTGGACATGATCTTTTTATATTACCACACCATTTTTTTAACATACAAACATATTAGGAAGCAAGATCAGAGTTTAGGGGATAAACCCCAGTACATTACAGATAAGATCTGAAAGCACAGAGCCACCCTATTGAAATGGGAATTTAACTGGACTAAAGGAGTAGACTTCCCGATGAAACTGAGCAGCAAAAAAGGAGCAGATTGACGGGGAGCTACGGCAATGCCGTGACAACTGCTTCCTAAAGACTCATTTGACGTGCACTCCACTTGGTAGGCCGGTAATCCCCATCGGCTATCTCCATGGAAACGGCACAAAACAGAGGTTTGATGCTGAGCCGTAGATTTTGGGGTGAGCTTCACCGGACTCAGCAAAGGATATGGAGGTTGTCATTGAATCTGAAGAGCTCTAACATCAAACCTATCAATCGAAGTCGCGCATGTGGTCTGAGCTCAACCCGAATGACAAACTCGGCATGGTTTCTACTGATAAAGAACAAAAGAGAAGCCAAATCCAAAGACCAACCAACCTTCAACATGAAAGAGTTTGAGTGGCTGAAAAGAGACTTCACCATTTGATTGGACCATACAAGCTCATCTATCAATTTTAATAACAAGTCGATAATTCCTTATGAGCAGACTTTGCTACGCAAAGAATATTATTTTGGACAACTCCTTACAAGCAGACTCTACCTATGTGTCTTCATCTGCAAAATAATATATTTTCAAATATATCAACAACACAACATATGCTATGCACGAAGAGTCCAATTAATATCCATATATACCCTATCATGAACCAGGTCCACTAAAATCCCCGCAAAATATAAAATCATTAATCATTATAGATAATCAAAGTACTAAAAATGAGGAGAAAAAAATTAAAAAAAAGGCGATAATGACACGTAGGCTGGCAGCGATCCCGAGAGCACGTCCCTCCCTTAAATCCACGCACCTCGCCGAAGTTCCAATCGAAAATCAAATCAAATCAAATCCCAACCAAAAAAAAAATTCAAAATCAAATCCCCAAACCCCACCATCTCCATGGCCGCCGCCACCGCCGCCGCGCGTGACCTCGCCGGCGACCCGCCGGAGTCGACGCTCCTCCGCGTCGGGGGCGAGGTCGCGTGGCCGGACGTCTATGACCGCGACGACTCGCTCAAGGAGAACACCAACCCCAAGTGCATCCTCAAGACCTACGGCGGCGGCGGCGGCGGCAACTCGTCGCAGAGGTTCTCCGGCAACCTGAAGCCGACGGCGGCGCCGATCATTGGCTTGTCGAGGAAGCTGGGCCATGGCGGGGGCGGCGGCGGAGGAGGAGGAGGGGGTTTCCGTCCCCCCGCGATCTTCCCGAAGAAGGCCAAGACCGGCGGCGGCGGGCGCACCCCGAGGGCGGCGGTGCCCGACCACGAGCCCGGGTCGCCCAAGGTGTCCTGCATCGGGAAGGTCCTCTCCGACCGCGAGCGCGCGCGCCGCCACCGCCGGTGGTCGCTCGAGACGAGGCCCCGCGGCGTCGGCGGCGGATGCTGCCCGGGGCTCGGTTCCCTGTTCGTCCGCCGGAGCCGGTCGAGGAAGAACGTCGTGGAGTGCGTCGACGACCAGTCGCCGCCCCCGCCTCCGCCGCCGCCGCCGACTGCGGCCGCGCTGAGGCGGAGGGAGGAGAAGGTGGTGTTGATGACCGAGGAGGCAGCGGCGGCGCCGGCGCCGGCGCTGGGAGGGATGACGCGGTTCGCGTCGGGGAGGAGGGCGGCGGATTGGGCGGCTGAGATGGAGATGGATGGCCACGTGGCGAGATCTGGGCCGTTGTAGCGTGATCTGGAAACCATGTGAAGAGAAGACATCGTGTACATGGAAGTTTGGTTTGGTTTGGTTTGGTGTGATTTTTAGCTGGTTGTTGATGTAATTTAGTGCAAGTTTTGAAGTTTGTGTACATATTGAAAATTAGGAGATGAGAATGATGGGATTCAGGTCAGCAAACTTTGTCTAATTTTGTTCTGTTTTGATCTGTTTCTGTTTGATGTGAGTTGAATGGAGAAGATTTCAGTACTGGCATGCTTGCATTGATGATATGTATGCAACTCTGACTTTGCATGCCTAACTTTTTTTTTTCCTTATGTAAGGACAAGTAGTGCACTAGTGTGATTTTAGTGTAGTGTTGATGTGTGTATGTCTGAAAATTAGGATGTGAGAATAATGGGTTTCATAGTACTACCAAATTAGTCAAAATATGCTCTTTCTTTTTCTTGTTTCTATTTGATGTAAGTTGGATGGAGAAGATTCCAGTGTTGACATGCTTTCATTCATCATATCCATGTTCCAATGACTTTGCCCTTTTCTTTTCTTTCTTTTTTTTTGCAAGGACAAGAAGCGTGCTTTTGATGAGTTGATAGTTGATTTTAAGCGTACTATGCATAAGTCCGATAGGTTATCTGTTACTTGCACCAGTCATAAATATTTGATGGACGTTACTTACAAGATGTGATTTAACTTTTAAATATTTGAAACAACAATAATTTCTCGAATATGCTTAATCCAAAATTAAGAAAAGGGTAGGCGTAGATTTAACTTGAAAAATATTATCATAAAATCATAAGCGTATTATATTTTATTTATTGTTTTTTAATATATATTGATAGTGAAAGTTTTAAAAAGTTTGGGTGGATCTTTTCCTCGTCAAATATTTAGAGGAGTACGATTAAGTGGGATAGAGCTATGAGCCTGAGAAAAGGACTAACTACACTTCACAATGAGATGAAAAAACTAACAAGTACATTTAACAACGAGAAAATGTTGATTTCGAAATCGCTGGAATGTTGTTAGGTTGAAGGTCTGATGAGTGTGTCTGAAAATCGATAGGCTGAGAGTAACATGAAATTGATGAATTATGCTCAAGAAACACTACGTGTATGAGAAGTAGAGTATATGTTTAGCCTGAGAAAAGAACCAAAGGACTAAGAAGTACAGTTTACACTGAGAAAACGTGAATTTAGGAAATGCATTTTCCTTGTCTCATCCTTGCATCTCCCATGACTTTGCATTGAGTAACTTGTCGGAGGGACAAGCAGTGTGCTTTTTGGGGATTCGGATCGGTTGCAGTCACAATAGTTAATATTGCACGCAACTTTGGCCGTCTATTTTTGTGATCAACGGTTTAAATTCATAACTACAGTAACATGAACAGTATTCCATGCTACAGTACAACGAAAGTATTTCGTGCTACATACCACGAATAGTATTTCGTGCTACAGTACCGTGAACAGTACACCGCACGATCTAGGCCGTTCAGCTTGTATCCAAGGATGCTACTGCTACTGCTTAATTTTCTAAAACGCTTTTTAGAAAATCTGCTTTTTGGTGGTTGATAATTGGTAAGACAAGTCAACATGTTGCGTGAATTTAATTAATTAGATAAGGTATTTTCTAAAACGTATATTTAGATAAGGTATGAACTGAGCAGATACAGATTAAAAACTGCAATGCATAATAGTTCAGATCATAGCTAGATTCGTTAATATACAGTATATATACCAATAACTTCAATCAATACTTTATACAAGAAGTTAAGCAGTGCAATTAACTGAATCCCAGCGAGAGGAACGCATATATACGCCGAATAGGGTTCATCCAAAGTTCCAAACTACAACACTGCAACTGAACATCACATTCAGTAAGCATAATACAAATATGTAAAACACCCTATCTGATAATTATTGTCTACTCCCATACAATACAAAGATATCCATGTGATGTAGGATGGCTAGAGCAGTTCCACAAGCAACAGCTTCGTCAGGCCTCAATTCTGTATTCAGCTCCCATCAAAGTAATCCTTGATAATTAGTTCTTGAATCTTTGGGATCATTTTTCTTCCACCAATGACAACAACCTCATTTGATCAGATTCTTCTTGTTGTTCAACTCTGTTGTCATCTTGGAGGTACATACGGATCAATTTCCATTTGATCATCACATCAGGCTGTTGATGATCATAGTAAATCAATTTCAGCATATATACCTGATTGAAAAATGAGTAACTTTTACACCCTCACCTCAACCAATTATACCAGCATTGAATCCACTGTAAAAGGTAACCTGCTCCGCAGCCAAAGATGAAATTGCCTTTCAAAGTTATCTTCTCTGCAGCCAAAGATGAAATTGCCTTTAAAAGTTATCTTCTCTGCTGCGTTCATCGTCTTAAGACCAACTTTACTGTAAATTGAGGCTCATCAATCCAAGAGAGTTCAACCTTTGTATCTTGACCATAGCATTTTATCTGACATTTTTTACACTGAACAATCCAAAACATTTTATCCGACACTTTTTACACTGAACATTAATCCAAAAGAGAGTTGAGCCCAGTGTTAATGGTTGCTGTCATCACCTATGATGGTGGAGCCTTCCGGTATGCTGTCATCACCAATTAATTAAACATAACGTGCATGATTACTTTAATCTAGAAGGGCCACCGTTTGTGGATTAGGCTCAACACCAACGACGACATAGGCTATGAAAAAGAAAAAAAAAAGGAGTGCCAGAAAACCAACCCAACCAATCTGATGAGCCCATTTGAACGAGAAATTTCTCCATTTAACACGAGATTCAAATGCATAACTGTAACAGTTGACACAGGCCTTGTCATTCGACTCTACTACACTACAACAACCAAGCTCAACTTCGAACGATGCTTTTGCTGCTGCTGCTGCTAAAAACCAGGGTAGTGAAGGCCGCATAAACTGTGTACAGCATGCGTATTTAAGCCTAAAATGCTGCAATGCAACTTAACTGCTTCATATAGTAACATATTACTCTGTACAGATCCAGAGGGAAATGTAGAAATTCGTGTTATCACAAACAGTTACTATATTGTATTTTGGGACAACTGTCATGCAACCCTGTAGAACATCTCTGCTGTCTCCCCCATAAGAAATGTACAGGAGAACGAAAAATGTGATGACAAGTGTATATTGACTGTAATCTATAGCTATGACAATGCTGAGTTTCTAGATGGCAAATCTACGGCTTCAGCACTAAACGAAGACGCCAGGCAAGGTTTCCTTTGTATATCATACCTGCATCACCAGAAAAACTTCACAGAAGAAATTGTCATATAAATCGCAGGTCACGTACTATTTCTCACTGCCATCCTTCTCGTCTAATGCTCCATTAGGCTTCTCAGACCTTACTGGAAGAACGCTGCGCCGCTCTTTGCCACCTGGTTTAGCTGATGCATTCCCATACCATATCATCCCAACAACAGCAAGGATCATCCCAAGGACTACCTGAAAATTCAGACCTTCCTTGCCAAAGAAGAGAAACCCAAGGGACAAGACGAGCACTGTCTTCATGTGGCCCAGGACTTGGAAGGATACGGCAGAAAACCGACCAATGCAGATAAATTGGCTCAGATTAACACCAATGGCAATGACACATGAGAGAGTCAGGAAAAACTGCGGAACAATAAAAACCATCGTAAGATGAAATGGAAAATTTGAGGTCAAATTACAAACAAATCAAGCATTGACTCAAATTCATCCATATTCCAACCAAGTAAAGTGTAACTATAGACTAATAACAAGCAAGAGATTGCACATAAAAGGAAATCTATAGACTATAGTTGTTTGAAGTTACTGCTAACAAGTGATGCTATGAAGTAAAGACTTTTGTGGTCACAAGAGGAAATGTAATGCTAGTCTAGGTCATTTGAAAATGAGTAAATTTCATAAAATCCCACATATTATGGTCCAAGTTGCACAAAACCACTGGGATTTTGGCATGTGACATATAACCCCACATATTATAATCCTAGAGTTTCACAAAACCACACTATTGATCATTTTAACTTATATCTACCACACTTTTGAGTTATACAATCACATCTCAAATTTATGAGCGTTTTATCCATCATATAAATATTACATCCGCTTTGTAAAATTTTAATATATGAGTATGTCAAAATGGTTAACGGTGTTGGTTTGTGAAACTTTAGAATCATGGTTTTGTGTCACATGCCAAAATTCCTGTGGTTTTGTCTAACTTAGATCAGAAACAAAGCATTGTAATGAGGCTAGCCTCTTACCAAAGCAATCGATGTGAAACCAAAGTGATCCACTCTTTTGCCTGTCAACAAGAAATCTACAAAGGGCCCAACTAGCAGAAGAGATCCCGCTTGGGCTGGAGCAGTGTGGCCCAGGAGGTTGAATGAGTTCAGAGAGTACTTCCTTTGGAGAAAATGAACATACTGCAAGGAAAATAGAAAAGGAAAGGAAACTAATGAGTAATTTGTCTATAATTAAAGAAGTGACAAACAAACAAATGATTTAGGGAGTGCCAATTATTCATAACTAACAAGGACTGCAGGGAACCAATAATGATTCAGGGAGCGCCAACTATTCATCATTCATCAATAAGAAGACAAATAGATAGCCACAGTTACTGTTGTACCACCATGTACTAATTTCCCCCTCATAAAAATGTTCATGGCTGCCAAAGGAGAGCTATAGGAATAGAATGCAATCTTATCTCATAGCTGATATATAAGACATAACCATACAACAAGGGTGGTGATTTTAACTTACATATTGTTGTAAAGCTGTGCTCCAAACAGCTATAACAGCAGCAGCCAGACCTTTTGCATTTACACTGACATCAGTAACTGTGCAGACTGCAACACCTATAAGCACAACCATTATGCTCAGCTTTGTGTCCCGGGAGTAATGTACACGATCGAAGACAACCTCCAGGAGACATGATGCAGGTATCATGCACAGCTTTGCTATCTGAAGGGAAGAAAAAGGATTGTTTAGTAGTTGAAAGTTTAAAGCCATGATGGAATCTAGCTACTAGAACGGTCCTTTGCTAACCTGATAAAATCCCACAGAGTTCCACATCAAGCTCACATTCATTCCAACAATTGACAAGTTCGAAAAGATCACAAACTTAATCAGATCTGGTATTGGTAAGTGGGAGGGCTGGCTGAGGCCTAACCACCGAAACACGATAGTCATCAAGGTGGTTGTCACAAAATGAAGACCAGTTAATGTTGTGGCTGCAAAATACAAAACACAGTCAGTTACATGGCATCCATTATCATACAAATGAAGTATGTGTATGTTGAGGAGCAGCCCATAAATCTTGTTGGACACAACAAGAAACTGGATAATATAGTGTGCTTCCACTGTTCCATTAAGGCCCTTTTAATGTTCATCAAGCAGAGTGGCAGCTTGTGACAAGAAATTATGATCATAATTCTCATAGCAGCTAGAACAGCGTGGTTTTCAGGTCCACCGGATACCTTATAGGTTCACTTTTAATTTGTTTTAGATCACAACAAAAACAAATCCGGCGAACTTCTTTGGCATATGGATTATCTAGAATTCAAATGATTGGAATTTGATAAAAAATTACTCAAAGTTTAAAGATGCCTGTCAGTCAATTGTTTAATTGCATGCCCCAAGGAACAAACATCTAGAATCCACAATTACATAAGATCTAGTAGCATTTATTCGTTCTATACTAAAACAACATAATACTGCAAGTTTGTCATCCCAGAACACGGAGTAGCCTGGAATAAAACATCACAAAATATATATCTTAAGGTAGCAAAAAACATACCGAAACTGAATCCATGTGTAGCCATCAGAGCCTTGTTGACCATGATGATTCCAACGGATGTGGTGATGTTGAAACTCCATGCCGCAAAATCTAGCACCTTCTTCTTGTCGGATTTGCTCATGGAAGAAGTCATTTCGCTCGAATCCTTGAGGCTTCAAATCAACACCAACACTTTGGCAGGGGAGGACCTAACAAATTATTTTGGGAGGAAACAAAACTGTAAGAATTGGTACTAAGGTTAAAACAGAGAGAAAAATCCTCTTCCAGATCTAGAAGGAGAAGAGAAGGAAAAAGGTTAAGGCACAGAGAAATGGTGCGCGCGGGTAGAACGAGAGGAAAAGAGGACGCGCGCTCACCGGAAGCACGCCGTCGGCCGGCGCCGCTGGCTCGAGGGGTGATGGATGGAGATCGGCGAACTCGCTCGCGAGTCGAGAGGCCGAGGTGGCGGGTGGGGAGAGATTGGCTTGGGCGCGGCGAGGAGGAGCCAGAGGCGAGGGTACGCGGCGGCGGGAGCAGCTGGACGCCGCCGGGCACCGCCGCTCGCGTCGCGGTGGTGGAGATCGCCGCGCGACGGCGGAGGCGGCGGCGGCGGGCCAAGGAGATTTTGCTCGTGTGGTGTTTTTTTTTTCTTTTGTTTTATTTTTTTTTTAGCGAAATGAAAACAAGTGTCTCCAAATCTCCCAGATCTGCCACTATGTGGAGGGTTATTTATAGTGTGCTTTAGTTTGGTTTGAAATTTTGAATTTAGTACCAAAATATGTCCAAATTCCTCGATTAGATCGCCGTGATTTCGTTTTCAAGTAAGGTGTCAAGAAAATGCCAGCCCATCCTTCCATCACCGCGATATTACAGGAGTAATATTTTTTCTTTTTTCCTTTTTAAGTAGTATTTTCTTTGAGAAGTAATAAGGACCTGCTCGAAAGTGTTTGATCAATGATGGATGAAACTGAAAAATTGTACTTCCTCCGTTTCAGAATGTAAGTCATTCTAATATTTACTATATTTATATTGATGTTAATGAATCTAGATAGATATATGTATATATTCATTAATATCATATGAATGTGAAATATGCTAGAATGACTTATATTGTGAAACGGAGGGAGTACTTCCTTCGTCCCGAAATATAGCAACCTAGAACCGAATAGGATGTATCATAGTACTATGAATCTGGAATTGCTCGTCCAGGTTTAACCTGTCCAGATTCGTAGTACTAGGATACGTTCTATCGGGACCTAGGTTGCTATATTATGGGACGGAGGGAGTAATAATTATTCAAGTATAGAGATGAATAATTTAAATATTAAAAAGTTGATTGATCTATTTAAAAAGTTTTCAGGGAAATATTAACGAACAATTCTTTTCTCAAAAGATATCGCACAGTTTAAACATGCATCTATTAAACTTTAAATCAACAATTGTGTTGTGTGGTTCTGTTTGTGAAAGTACTATATGTATCAGTGTTCCGCTTAACTGGTTGATTATATTTATTAATTAATTAATACGGTTGACACAACGTTGGGGTTAAGATCTGTATACTTTTTTTAGAACAATATCTGTATACTTAATTGTTTATTAATAATGTAAACACATACACCGTGCAGTTAGGGTGTCACATAAGCATGGCAGCTCATACACGTAGGGTCCATGCATCCATTATATTCAGATCTCAAATCAGATTTGGGCATGCAACCTTTTTTGAGATTCCAAGCCATCGCACTCAAATCAACATTTCATCCAAGTTACTACTAACTAGTCCGTTGATTAAGATTATATACTCCTACTTAAGTTTTTGTATGTATCTTCAAAAAAATGTTTCGACATGTGTATTCTAAAATGTGATTGCTGTTTTGGGGGGGGGGGGGGGGTTTGGAAAACTGACCAAGTTAATTCTATATATTAATTCCATTGACTATATAGCTCATGTATTTATGAAGTAAAGGTGTGATTTGGCACGCCAAGCTACGCATACAAAAGGCATGAGCAGGTCAGAAACCACCCCATGTTTTATTTGTATGGAGTAATACGAATTGTATGTTGGTATCATGCATATGCTGAATCGATCGATCATCTGTTGGAGTGTTAATTGGACAACTTTAATTGTCGTGCAGGTTGTTACATGTGCAATTAATTGGCCAGATAGTAGTAGGAGTACTACTGTGTTTTTAGTCAAGTCGTGTACACTCCTGAGAGTGATTAACTATCGGCAACCTAGCTTAATTACTGATTTGTCGGTGTGTGTACATGGATGCACATGCACCTGATGGGCCAAGTAAGCAGCAAACCATCTTTAGCTTTTCAGGCCCGTATGTGATTGGGCCGAACTACGGCCCAAAGTCAAAACGTATTAATAAAAACAAAGATCCCTTCACCTAGATTTCTTTCATAACCACACAAGCATAATAGATTAATAGTATCATTTTGGTGTTAAAAGCAAAATATCATGTTTTTTTAGAAACATTACGAGCGAAGACACCTTCGAAAGATTGGACCAGCAAATATTAAGATTAATAACGAAGTCATCACAGTTATTATCGACAGATATATTATATATCACTTAAGAAAATAATTAGCTATAAATATAGACACCTATGTCGAGTGTAGAACTTGAACCTGATGAGCTGATTCCACCACAGTTGAGTAACATTCACTTCAGAAAAAAAAATCATTTCCTCTCTAAAAAGCCAAAAGCAGTGCTGCAGGCTGCAGCCATGATGCGACTGTATACGCGTACCTGCACCGACAAATTACGAACCATTAGTCCATTTGTACTCTCCTGGCCAAAGGAAAAAATTGGAAACCATTAATCTAGTTGCCAATAAGCAATCAATCTCAGGAGTGTACACAACGTTGACTAACTACTACAACTCACACGAGATATCATCGATGATCACTGAATTCAGCAGGGTACAATATATCCGTATTATGGGAACTAGACATGGATTTTCAATGTGATCATGCCCTCCCTACGCATAGCTTTCGCGTGCCGAACCACACCTTTACTTCACGGAGGAATTGACCCTATATCATTGAAAAATTATGATTTTAGTTTTCACCCAAGATTGTTTAAATCTCAATTCTGATGTACAATTTTACAATCCTAATTAAGGGTAAGTTCTTATAGGATTGACTACTTTCTTGTTTATTCTTGGTATGCTTCCTAAACCGTTAAATGATACGTTTAGTGAAAAACTTTTTACATATAAGTTTTTTTTAAAAAAATCAAATAAATCTATTTTTTAAGTTTATAATAATTAATAATTAAATATTCACATGCCAATCACATATTTCGGTATCTGTGCCACTAAGTAGCAGAGTTGAACGACTCTTTTGAACGTCTAAGATGTCTGATTCTACAATTCTGTATAGGCAGGATATATTACTTTACATTTTAATTTATACAATTCTATGATTGCGATCCCATATCGAATTTTCCAATCCGATCCAGGATCGTGATTTTAACAACCTTGATACCATCGAAAGTTAACTCTATTACTCTATTTATCATTGCATATCCAAACTTTTGTTAGATTCATTTTAATTTTATTTATTTATCCCCATCTCACGCTCAAAGTTGGTATCGATATCACTCTATCCCAAACTTGACTATGGCTACCTCTATCATCCTCAAGCTTACCACGGATAAACTGCCCTTAAAGTCGCACATAGCCGTGGTGATTGAGGTTGCAAGGTTATCCATGGTTATTACCCTCGATTAGACTCACACAAGCAATGTCCTTGAAGTCACCCATGACCACAACAAAATGACCATTGTGCTCACAAGGCCACCATGTACAGTACCCTTGATCGGGCTTGCCACATGTCGCCATCCTCATCACAGTCGAGCTTGCATTGTTACCCATGTTTGCCACCATAGATCTAGCTCGTCGATAATCACTTCCTCACCTCCGCAAGGGAACAATGTAAGTGAATAAAGATCCATACTGAGGTCTCGGAGGACGTCTTGGTAGAGTAATCTTCACTTGTGATCATCTCTAGAAGTTTGAGTTGGATCTTGGTGGTCACTCGAATTCTAGAGAAAGACCTAGGGGTGTTGGATTGAAGGCCGAGGACTTCTGTCGGGATCTTTGCACGATGAGGCAAGAGGTTAAATCAAGATCTAACTCTTCAGAGTTTCTCGACAAATAGTAGGATCCGTGTGATCCGAACTTCGGGAAAAAAAATCCTTTTGTCTCCCCTGTGCATATTTTGTGCTTGCCCGTGTGATTCAATTACTCTGCTTGTCTACTGTGTATCGTGCTGATTGAATAGGCCTAGAAGTTTGATTAGATTTGAAGTCAATTCTCTCATTTATTTCAATCCCAGAAGTTCCTGTCTTAGAACTCCGGAAGTTCTGGGGTGTCTGAGCTGCCAGGAAGTTCCGTCGTTCTTCACGAGGAGGTTCTGAGCCCTGTTAAAATTTGACCGTTGCGATTGTTTTTAGTATTTTTCAGGAGGAAAAAGTACGAATTACCCCCTCGAAATATCGCGGTCGGCCGAAATTCTCCCCCGAACCCGAAAACCAGACATCATTCACCCTAAACTTTTAATACCGGACGAATTACCCCCCTCGACCCAATTCAGAGCAGTTTTGTGCTACGTGGCGTACGCGTGGAAACCCAGTCAGCATTTTCCTTTTTTTAAACATGGTGGGGCCCAGCTGTCATTCTCTCCCATCTCCTTTTCCTCATCCCCTCTTCCTCTCTCTCTCTCGCGACGTCAGGCGCAGCCGCGCGGGTGGTCGGCACACAAGGGCGGCGGTGGGTGGTCGGCGCTCACGGCGGCGCGCGAGGGCGGGCGGTGGGTGGCGGCGTGGGAGCGGGATGTCGGCGGAGAAGCGAGGCGGAGGCGGAGAGGAGCGGTGGCCGGAGCTTGTTGACGAGCGGTGGTAGGCACGACGAGGAGGGAGAACTGGTCTGTGGGCTCCAGACAGCAGTGGGTGGCGAGGAGGGGGCGTGGCTGGGAGGGCGAGGCGAGCGTGGCTGGGTTCACGAGGCGAGCGCGGTGGGCGGCCGGGAGGGCGCGGCGGCAAGCGAGGGTGCGGGCGCGGCTGGGTGCACAAGGCGAGCGCGGTGGGCGGCATAGAGGGTGCTGTGGTGGGTGCGGTTAGGTGCACGAGGCGAGCGCACGGAGATTCCGGCGAGCCCTCTCCTCCCGCCTCCGGCCAATATGCTCCCACTGCGGTGGCCACGGGGAACATCACGAGCTCCCGCAGCGGTGGCGGCGGCCTCCGTGGCAGGGCGATGTCTGCCAACCGCTTCATTGGTATCCCTCGACGCTCCAGGACGAGCCTCCTCTTCCGGCGCTGACGCCCGAGTATGTCGGTCTTTGCAGGAAGGCGGTGGAGTACTTCGATTGGATGTGCCGTGTACGGCCGGCCTGACGCCATGTCCAACGCGTTCAGGATACTCTTAGGTGTTCTTCCGATTTCCTCGTCGTTGTGATGTGAATGTTTTCTTGATAATGTGTTGCTGTTTCCTCCCTAGTTTGGTTAACTACTAGATTGCCCATACTATCCATAATTGAATACCTGCGCCACCTCCCACCAACCGCGCGGCAGCACCTAATGACGCGCTGCCGCCCACCGCCCCCTCGCGTGCCGACCGCCCGCGCGGCCGCGCCTGAAGTCACGAGAGAGAGGAAGAGGGGAAGAGGAAAAAGGAGATGGGAGAGAATGACAA